ATTCAGATTTAATTTCTTTACCAGTTTGCAAGTAATCCACAAACAAAATTCCTTTCGCATCCCAAGAAATTGATGCTATAACCTACTTGGCCGATTTCCGGACACGAACTCGTTTCGAAGCCGAACAACCAGGTTTATACCACCCTTTAGCCTTTTGTTTTAATTTTCGATAATTTCGATAGACCAAAGTCTCATCGATAGAGATGAACCGACCAACAAAATTCACTTTATCCTTTTTAAAACGCTCCAAATGTTGCTGAGAAAGTTATATTTGAATATGTTTTTGTTCCATTGTTAGCGAATACGGCACCCATTGTGCACAAAGCTTTCTAAAACTAAAATTTTACTTAAAATATGGCTCACACTAGCTAATGAGATGTGTAGAGTCTCTACTAAATATCTCTCAGTCAATCGACGATCTTGAAAAACCATATCCTGTATTTTGGCTATGATTTCTGGTGTGTGTGTGCCATGTGGACGTTCTTCACGTACATCGTCTTCAAGGCTTGTGCAAACCACATTTAAATTCAGCAACACATCTTTCTACTATTTTAATTGTAGGTGAAGAATTATTATACACTTCTAACATTCGATCGCGAATTTATTTTGGTCCTTCCAAAAATAAGAATTTTATCACTACACGACATTAAATTTTTTTTATTGTAAAAAAATACTATGCTTGTAAACAAAGAATGAATTGACAGATTGAAATTTAAGTTCCCATACGTTCATATGAAGAGTGTACCAGCAAAGCAGAAAATATGTATTAGAAACGGTAGGTTTTTATAAAAAAAAATTTTGATATGCTCTATTTAATGTAAAACACATATATATCTTTTGAAATAGATATGGTAAAAACACAAAATATAATCATTTTGAAACAAATAAACATGAGCTATATAGAGTTAGATGTATGTTAACTTTATTAATTCACTGTATATTGTTGAGTTTTCGCCACTATTTTGTTGTTGGATTTTAGAAGAGACATTTTGTTATTAAAAACAATGTGACTTGTATTTTCTAATTCATTTCTTATTGTCTTTTTTCAAATCAACATAACAGACGGAAATGGGTTTGTGGATATTTGGACTAATTCGTCGAATTGAACACAATGGTTTTTTTCTGCACCCACATTTGTAGCTGTCACTGATTGTGCGTATAAAGCTAATCAAATAGTGTTTGACCTTATTACCAATAGCTTAAAGATATTTCACTGAAACAGAAATACTTGTTATTAGCAACGTTTACATTGTTCCCTATTGCAACGGATATAACTAGACACTGTCTATTAAGATTTTTTTCTATCGCAAATTGTCGAAGTGGGCGAAGGCAAAGTACAGCAAAAAATATTAAGACTTTGTTCAAACATTTAAAATAACCCTTTACATCCTAATACACTTTTACCAACTCTTTTTCCATTCCTCGAATCAGTTGTCGATGTCAATTTCCGGAATAGCCTTCAATGTGCATAGGTATTCACGTTTTATGTCTTCAATTGATTCAAAACGGTTTCCTTACAGCTATCGTTTGCTTTTGCTGAATAGCCACAAGTCGCACGAAGCGAAATTAGGTGAATACGGTGGTTGGCCCATGATATTGGTTGAAAATTTGGCGAAACACTTATGAAGAGTTAACATAGTATTTGACGGTGCGTTATTGTGGTGCAAAAACMAAGAGTTGTCGGCTCATAATTCCGACCTTTTTTTAGGAATAGCTTCGTGCAAACTACGCATAATAGTATTCCTTGATATCTTGAATGCATTGTTTCACAGTCGTTAACGCGACGTTGTTTCTCGAAAAAAATAGTGATTTGAAACCAATCGTGCTTTCATCTTTCTTAGGCCCAAATGATCTTTTCAGTAAAATATCTGACCGTTATTCATCGATTCTGTTGATCATCAGTTGATGTTGATGGTGTTCCTGGAAGTGGTTCGGCGTCATAGCATTCTACATCTTCATTGATTTAAAAACCCTTGCACGCGACAAAAAAATTATCACCGCGGGCCTTTTCTAACATTCTGAACGTTTCAATGCCAGAAATTTTATTCCGCTGATGTCACTGACAGTCATACCAATTTCAATTAAAAAGTCTTCATATTTTTGTTCATTTTCCTATATTCATCTATACTTGCATTCTTAACATCACATATAAGCCGCATTCCTATCCGTCCAAGTTGGATCTTTGTGACCCTTGTTGCTACATTGTAAATATTACTGCTTTTAAGAGTACTAAACCTTTCTTTGGCGAAGGGAATAAGTATGAGCTCTTAATTAGAATGGGAAGGTCCTCTGCCTTACAGTTTTCCCTTTTTACGAATTTTAGAACTAAATTGAAAAATTTATTTAAAATTTCAAAACTCACTGTTTTTGATAAAGAGATTCGAGATATTCGACGTCAAACATCAATGCAAACAATATCCAGTTTAGAAAAACACTACATTCACCTTCTGAATTAGAGATTTGCAAATTTGGCAAAAAGTTGTGGAGTTTTGGAAACGATTGTTTCTTACCCATGAAAATAAGTATAAAATTTTTGGAGCTGATCTAGAGTTTCGAGAAAACTAAATACTGCGCTTTAAGTGAAGAATTTTATACCTACAGTCAAACATGCAGGCGAAAGCGTTATGATTAGGAATACCATGGCTTCATTCGGAATAGGACGTTTAATTTTTTAGAGGGTATTATGGACCTCTCTGACTTTAAAAACATATTGAAGCATATGTGCAAAGTTTGGGTATTGGAAAGCATTGGATTGAATCCAAAGCAGACGACGCAGGTTATTCGAGCTTTGCTTCTAAAGGGTGATTCCTTTCGAGATTCCCTACTTTTTTAAAGGAAAAACACAGAAACTTCAAATTTAATGGAGAATATTTTTTTATCATTCGTAAGAACATTCATTGACATTTATATTTTGAAAATTATCTTTTTCAAATGTTGGCAGTGGCTACGTTTCAGATGATCCATCTGTTGAGACCAATTTTCAAAGACTTGTTCGAGCATTTCGACAGGCGAATGACACGAGTGCTGTCTTGCTCCAAGACCTGAATCGAGGCGGGATTGTATGCGTAGACTTTAGATTTTACATATTCCCACAGGAGAAGGTCTAGCAGTGTGATATCAACGGATCTTGGTTGCCAATCGACCGCCTCAAAACGTAATATTGTCAGCTCACCGAATTGATTCATTGATTGATGCAATATGTGAGAAGTGGCGCCGTCTTGTCATTTTCATTTCAGGCATCTAATTGTCGGTTATCATTGTGCTATAACGATCGCCAATAACGGTTACGTCCTCAACGGCATGATTTTTGATTCCACCGGTCCATAAACCACACCGAACCCTTGTTTTTTCTGGATGAAAGGGCAGTTCTTGAATTTCTTGAGGTTGCTCTTTGCTTCAAATGTGGCAAATATGTTTGTGTATATACACGCTGAACCAGAAATGTAGTAATCGCTAAACAAAATTTGGCTTGAAAACGTTGGATCTTTAAGAGCCCATAGAGCGAAACGATGTCGTTTGGGAAGGTCGAGCATCTTCATTTTTTACACAAGCTGTATTTTTTCCGCTTTCAATTTACGATCTCGACGTAAAATACGCTAAATCGTTCCATACGTTAGTTCGTGTTATGATGTGACATATCCAGATGTGGGGTATACTGGTAAAAGAAACCAGTGTACAAGGCATCGTAAAAAGTCTTTTATATGCAACGACGACGATTTGTTTAACTCAGAGTACTTTGGTGCGCAACATGGTCCCAATTGACCACGCTTTGGAGTGACCTGATTAACCACATGCTATGATATGTCAAAAATTGAACATTTTTTTCTTCGTACGGCTATTTGAGTCGGTTCTGCCAAATTTCAATTATATATCTCTTCTCAATTGGTTACTCTTTTTAAAGATGTTATTATATCTCGATTAATCGTGGCTGCGTTTGAGATGCTTAATAATTACCGCAGTACCGCAACCATGTTGCTAACTTGATTATCTGTTGCTGATGCTCAATTGATACTCTGCTGATACTTTACTGCAATCAGAGATAAAGAGATGCTCAACTCTCCTCTCAATGGAAATGTGAGAATCGCTCACCTACCGATCTTTGACAGTTGACTGGATTAGTTTGGTGTTGACGTTTTGCAATTAAAATGACTGGAATGGCCAGAACAAAATTCTACTAAAAATATATGCGAAGGGGGGGATATGTTGCCGCCGTTTAAGATCGCTAATAAAAAACGTAAAACATTGAAAATTAAAGAAAATGCGAAATTTTAATGTATTTCATGAAATGCTTTGTTTCATGAAGCATTTAATTTAATTTTCAATAAAAAATGAGCAGAAACATATATTAATTGAGAACTAAAAAAAGTTCAAATGTCAGTTGTTTTAATATGCCATAAAATCATAAAAAAGGATATAAGTAGTAAATATATAATAATTTGTAATCGTAATGAATGATGTGTGTTAATTTAAATGCCCGAAAATTCCTATTTTGTTCGATCTGGCCACAATGGAGAATGTTATAAAAAACGCTTATTTTGAGGCGCTCTCACACTGGAATAAGTTGGGCATCCCATTATCCCTTACTGCAAGACTGCAGTAATTATTTCGCACAGAACGTGTTTCTTACAAATGTGGAAATGTAGAACGTCATGCTTTCTCATTAAAGGCAAAAGGCCGCAGGCTATGAAACAATTTTTTGAATAAAAAGAATTAGCACTTTCAGTTACGGATCTGATTGGATTTATTAACAATTTAATCTGCATACGTTGCACATAGTAGCATTTTCCTTCAAAAACCGGACAAAAACGAGAATTACAAACTGCAGTGATGCTACTCAAAATTAATTTTTCTTAGTACCTTATTAACCGAACTGCAATACCCGATTAAATAATTGACTTTCAGCGTGTTATATACATATAATACAATTAGTCGGAACGTAGACTTCGTTCAGTATGCACGTCCTTATTCTCAATACTCTCCATTACTTTCGAAATTGCAACTGGTGTTTTGTATTGCGTGAAGTGAATTCTGGAAAATATTGGTTATGGATTCTGGACAACATGGTATGTATTTAATTTAAGTAACATAAATATTAATTTAGTTAATGGATTATTTTTTTTTTCGGAAAAGAATGAAATATTAAAAAAACGAAAAAATATGTGGGGGGAAGTCGTGTTAGTACTTAATTTTTTTTACTAAACTACAGGGTTTCTACTTATCATATAAACATAAACTTTTCCACCATCTTTCCCCGTTTAAAAAAAAAAAACAAGCATGTTGAATTAGGTTGGTCACTTGTATAAAAAGAGGTCTGCTTTTATTTATTTATTTAAATTAAATACTGAAATCTTGCTAAGTTTTTTCACACGGATGGTATATAAATGGTAAAAGGAAGCTCTACCGGAACCGGTGTGAAAATTGGACAATGGGCGTGGCACCGCCCACTTTTTGATGAAATCTCATATCACGGAACCAAACACACCGATTTCGACTAAATATGAAAGTAATATTTCTATGTAACAGTGCGAAAATGAGCGAAATCGGATTACAATCACACCTACTTTCCATATAACACAATTTAAAATTCCATTTGATTCTTTCACTTTCCAGTACACAAATAAAGAAGTAATTAATATAACGGAATAAAATTTTGTGTTACTAATTACCTTAAAGTGACCAAAAATTGTCCAAATCCAAACAAAACTGTTAAAGCCCCTAGGTACCAAATATTTAGACCCCGGTACCTTAAATTGACTTTTGACCGAAAATATTGTTCAATGAAAAATTGAAATTCACAGTTGTATTTAGGTTAGGTTGAATCGGGTCAATACTTCCCTGAGCTTCCATATACCTAACACAAAGGTTTTCGAACTTCTAAGTCACTTTATGCTGGATATATTCCCCAATATTTGAGTCATCTCAATGAAAATTTCAGAACTTTTGTTATTCATAACAATGTATCTTTGCTGATAAAATAATTAAAAAAGTTGGGCGAAAACTTGACCTTCCCCTTATACAGGTATTTAGGAGTGCAGCACTGTTGTCTTACGGGCTCAATTACCTCAGGCTGTGCCATTTTTATGCACTATTCCTAGACCTTTTATATCCGCTATCACGTTTCGCCTTCCCTTTCAAACCATTTTGAGGTTTCGACGAAGCTACTTATGTCCGATATGCTTTTAGTAGAAATCCATTCAATGTTTCGTGCATGATTAATTCCAAGTGTTCTGTGTCAGATCTGTAATAGGGCTGGGCATTCACATGGAAAGTGGAAAATTCTTTCCTTGTGCCCAGCTACTCCGCAGCCTCGGTAGATGCTGTTGTAGGGCATATCCATTTTGGACGCATGTTATCCAAATGGCCAGTGCCCTGTTAAGGTAGCTGTTACCTGTAGATATTTTTCCTAGACCTTTTTAATGAGTCGTTACTTCTCTTCTTGTCATATGTTGGCCATAATTTTTTAGTTACAATACAAGTACACTTAGTTATGTTTTTCCAACTGTTATTTTCAACTTGTTGAAATTATCTATTGAACTCTCTTTTGATCGTAGCGAGCTTGGTATTAGCTCTGCCTCGGAATCGTTAAGAAAAGCTCCTGCCTTCGCCGAAAATGTTCCTGTGGCCAGGAACCCAGATCAAGTCTAGGTGGAGCTTTTCTTTTATTGAGCTCAGTGCTTTCTTGCAATTGTCGACTATCCTGGAATTTGTCATGGGCGAAGACAAGGCCAGGAGCGCTGCCTGGCAATCTGTAAATATTGCCGCTTTACGTATTCTCTCGTGGTTTTCCAATAGAGCAGGACTTTTCTATGTCCAGTACTTCCGCTTGGAAGATGCTAGCCGAGTTACGTAGACGGATAAAGAGAAAAATGTCTAGATCAACGGAAAATACCCCCGTGCCTTCTCTGCAGTCCATTTTGGACCCATCGGTATAGTGAGATGGTATCTTCCTCGTCTATTGAGCCTCTTCTCCATTCTCGTCTAAAGGGTATCCTCACCGGGAATTGTCTGTTGAAATCCAGCATTGGGAGAATGTGGTCTGATTTATTAACGATCAGGATACCACTATGTCCATAGTTCTGCTGACTCCAACTACCCAATTCTTTGTTCTTTTGTGAATAAAGATGTCTATGGGTAGTTGATGCACGACCACATTGAGGACGCCAGTCGGACATGACTTGATTGCACCAGTAAAACCTGCACATGCTTTGTATTCAATTTAATTTTCTAATGTTGTATTGTTTGTTTAGCTCTGGCCACCATACCACAGCTCCATATAAAAGTATAGGTCTTATGACAATCGTATACATCTACATAATTATGCTAGGTTTGAGGTCCCAATTCTTACTGACGATTTTAGGCCATATATGCTTTATTTATTATTTTTTCTACATTTATTTTCAGGACAGTTTGGTGCCACCCCCAAAGTATTTAGCTGTGGGGGATTGTACCATTTAGTACCGGGAGTTGAAACTGAGGGATTTTGGTTCTGCTGTGAATAGCATGAATTACGTTTTGTTCGTTTTATCACCTAGTCCATTGTTCTTAGCCCATAGATTTAACCTTCGTTGTGCTCTTTCCATAATCTCGCTGACTGTTGAAGAAAACATGCCTGATACCAAAAAAACGATATCGTCTGCATTTGCTACTGCTTTAGCTCCTAGACCATTTAATTGGAGTAGTATTTCGTTCAGCGCTACAACCCATTGAAGCGGGGATAGGACCTATCCTTGAGGAGTCCCTCTACTCACATAACTTTTTAATGTTTCAGCGCTATTTGATGCTATAATCTTTCTATTCTCAAGCATCGAGTGTACCATTTATCTAGAAATGCAGCCATGGTGTATTGTTTGTCGTCTAGTGATTTTTCAATTACACTTATTACCTCGTGAAGGGCAGTTTCAGTTGATTGGCCCTTTATGTATGCATATTGGGACTTCGATAACTTATCCGCAATGATTGTTCTTATATTTAAGTCCATTAGCCTTTCTAGTAAGACAGCTGAATTCTAGCTTTGTATGTTTATACTAGTATATCTTCAATCCTTAGAATCCTTGGTTCTTCCAGCTTTTGCAGCATTATGGGCATAATCTAAACCTGCCGCTTTAAATGGTGAGAAACTATTTATGGCATATTTGATTTTGTTTTAGTCAACTATCTGGCCACGGTAAGCAGCTCCGCTTGCCGGTGCACGCGAACTTAGCTTTTCCTAACTTGTTTTATTTGAATATAATATTCAATCATGCATTTTTATTAATTTCCATTCATAAAATCACTCCTAATAATATTGCCCGGGTTTTTGAGACCAAATGCTCCTTTAAGCGTTGGAGCAATTTGTAACTTCAGTGGTATCTTAGCATTATTTATTATATTCAAAAAATGAAGACAGCCTTTTATTTTGTTTGTAAAATAAAATCGCAAAATGCTGGATTAAATTTCTGTTACTTTTAATATTTCAGAGTAGTAAAATTATTAATAAGCCGTTTAGCCCTTTGGAGAGAAAATGTCCCCCATTTTACCCCTTTGATTCTGCTACTGATATTATTATGAAAATTTGTAAAATTTTAATATTAAAAGAGCGATTATTGAGAGTATTAAATTCAGTATACTAAATTAAGTTTTTAGATAAAAAAGCAACTGGCAGTTACAAATGAAACATTATTAGAAATTCGTGAAAACAACACCTTTTTAGCATATGCTGCGCATAGTGATTTCAATTTTGTTCATGGACGAAAAAGTAAGGTGTAGATGAGCGTAATCGGTCCACTGCCCCGTCCAAAAAACTCCGGCACAGGGGGATCAGAGCGCCAAGCAGCATCTGCGAAGTGAAAATTTTGAAAAAGTGGGCGTGGCTCTTCCCTCTAATAGGTTTAATATACATATCTCCTAGCCCACCCACTAAAGCTACAAAGCCGAATTCGCTGGAACAATTCTTGTTAGAATTGTTACTGACGGAATGTATGAAATCGGATGATAACTCCGCCTGCTGCCCACATAACGTTTCTGTTAAAAACTACAAGAAGCGCGATAGATTAATAACTAAATATACCAGAGACATAAATGCACATCCCTAATGCAAGTCGTTTTACTAAAATACATCTAGGTATCTAATTGTTGAGCTTTGCTATGGAACTTTAGAGTTTTTCGATTATTAGTGTTTTGAGGGCGTGGCGATGGTCCGATTCCGCTCATATGCAATACCATTCCTTCTTGGATGCCAGGGTAAAAAGAGATATCTCAATTCTTACTTAATTTATCGTTTACATGGATAGACAGACAGACACACTTCCGGATTTCATTWTGTCTCGTCATCCTGATTACTTATATATATATGTAACTCCATATCTATCTCGTTAGGTGAACAAAACTATTATACTCTGTAGCAACATATTTCAAGGGTATAAGAATACAGCAAAAGGGACCCACTTCATTCTTCGATTTGGTTTTATTACTATATTTTACATCCCGTCAGCGAAAATTACGCCACATTAATCTTCAAAAGAGATCGGTGTATGTGATCTACGAAAGAGGTTGGATCTAAGATATGGAAGTGATGTCAAAAACGTCAATTATAGTACCGGAGTTCACCGTTTTTCAAATATAAGGTTTAGATCAAAACTTTAAATTTAATGGGGAAGGCCTGAATTGAAGCGGGATTGTCCGCATACATTATACACAAGTAAAAGTGTAACGCTGTGATTTCACACGTTATTATTGGACATACTTGAAAATATCTACTCACCAAAGTGTTCTCAATCCATTGACTGGTGCGATATGTGGGAAGTGGCACCGTCTTATTGAATCCAAATGTCGCCGAGATCGTGAGCTTTAATTTCAGACATCAAATTATCAGTTATCATGACGTGATGCCGCTGATCATCATTTCTGAAATTTCAGAAAAATTAATTTTTTTGAATGAAATGGTAGCTCTTGAATCTCTTTAAGGTGCTCTTCCGAAATGCTGCAATTTTCTTAGTTAACATACCCAAAGAGACAGAAATGGCTTGCTTAACAAAATTTGGCTCGAAAACGTCATGTCAGCGGACCCTCAAAGTTGTTCGTTACA